GTTTACTTTCTCCAATAATTTTATCATTTGCAAGTTTGGTTCAAATTTTTGTACAATATCGCGGTTTTTTTTTACTTTCCTATCTCTATACAGACAAGGAAAGTATAGGAATCATGATTTTTTTCGACCTCGAGTTTTTGACGGTTTTTTACATTTTGGGGTCCCCTGAATCCGCGATGATGTCTGTGTGTGTGTCTGTGTATGTGTCTGTGTGTGTGTCTGTGTGTGTGTCTGTGTGTGTGTCTGTGTGTGTGTCTGTGTGTGTGTCTGTGTGTGTGTCTGTGTGTGTGTCTGTGTGTGTGTCTGTGTGTGTGTCTGTGTGTGTGTCTGTGTGTGTGTCTGTGTGTGTGTCTGTGTGTGTGTATGTGTGTGTGTCTGTGTGTGTGTCTGTGTGTGTCTGTGTATGTGTGTCTGTGTGTGTGTGTGTGTGTGTGTGTGTGTGTGTGTGTGTGTGTGTGTGTGTGAGTGTGTGTGTGTGTGTGTGTGTGTGTGTGTGTGTGTGTGTGTGTGTGTGTGTGTGTGTGTGTGTGTGTGTGTCTGTATCCTCGATAACTCATGAACGGATACAAAGAAAAATACCAAATTATAAACATAAGATTTATTCCAGCCTCCAGTGAACCGATTAGATTTTGGACAGAGTCGTAAAATCTGGGGGGGGGGTACTTTATTGGTGATCATTTTTATATTTAATGAAATATATCTGTTATTTACGTTTGGAGAAGAAAATTCTTTAAATAAAAGTTATTTATAATATTATTATCTATAATTTTTGTCTCATACAAAATTTTTTTTAAATGGCCTGTATTCGAGAAATTTGACAAAAACGTAAAAAAATATTTTTTTATAAAAATTGTTACATAAAAGTTGTTTGTAATACAATTCTATACATAATTTCTCTATACGAGATATTTAGGAAAATGTGTAAATTTTGAATTTTGAAGAAAACTTAAAAACGGATAAAGGAAAAAAACAATAAATTTTAAACATAAGTTTTGTTTCGGCCTGAGGTGAAATGATTAGATTTTGGACAAAGTCGGAAACATCTGGGGATACTTTATGGGACGCCATTTTTATGAAATATATCTGTTATTTACATTTGGAGAAGAAAATTCTTCAAATATCAAGCACACTCGCTAAACCTCAGATTTACTAAACCATCTATAAATATTATTAGTTAGTCAACTGTCTTTTCTTCATATTTTGAGATTATTTTTAATATATATATCAGGTTATGTAGAAAACTTGACATTGATTTTTGTGTAAAAAATATTATTATATGAAACTTTACCTACCATTTTTCAGTTTTTATTGTAAATTTAATCATTTTCACAATTTGTCACACATGTCAAATAAAATAATATATTTTTTAATTAAGTACCTTTGATTGGCAATTAAACAAGTGAACTAAAATGTTTATTTTATAAGATCAGTCCCAACGCAATATATAATATTACACAGATACAAACTAGAATGAAGATATATACTGAGTGGCATTCTAAATTATACTCTTTACAGTTTAACAGACCCCTTTTCAATCAGATTTTTTTTCAGAATAAATAAGCTTCATCCCGTTGTAGAGCTTAATTTTTTCCAAAAATTTCGCATTGATATTATTGTTCGTTTTTGAGTTAAATTTTTTTTTAAATATTTTAACCCCCTTAACTCCCCAATTTATTTCAAATTTCATGTTGATATCGCCTTTCGTTTTTAATTTAGGATTTTTAAACACAACCCATCTCAACCCCTTATTTTAAATCAGTTTTTTTATAATCAATAGGGTTTGTCCCCTTATAGAGCTTGATTTTCGCTTAAAATTTTCAAGTTGATATCATTTTTCGTTTTTGACTCATCGTGCAGACAAAAAACGTTACATCGGACAGACGGACAAAGTAAACCTTTAATATTCACAGACTACTGCGTGAAGAGTAGAAAAAAATATATGAGGTAACATAAAGAGTTAAAAGAAGTCAACAATAATATTTAACTTCTTTTATCAAAGAATATTAAAAGTTTGAAATAGCAGCACATAATTCAAAATTTACAGAAATCTGTGAACTATAATAGTGAGAAACACATTGTTAAATGTTATCCAAAGTATTCTTGCTCTAGCTATTATTCTACCCTCATTGCTAACTTTTGCACAACTGAGTCCATATTTACTAAAAAATAATGTGTTTTAATAAATAACAGAATGAAAACACAAAATTTTGAAATTTTGTCTAAATATGTAACTCATCTTCAGCTGTATTTTCAAATTATTTTTTAATTGTAGATAGAATATTAATGTTTTGAGATCTACTTAGAGGATTAATAACCCAGAGCATGTAGATATGATGTAACTTGTTAAGTGTCTGTCATAATCACAATGAAGGTTTGATACTTATTGTTGTTTTCGAGACATACTTTATTACCAACTGTAAACGAATTTACCAACAGCCTTATTTTTAATAAATACTTGCAGGGATCCAAATTATCAATACACCCAATATTATTGAAAATACTAAATTATACAGGGTGTCCCGAAATTAGACGGTCATATTTTAACATCCTAAAATAGGAGTAAAAGTTCATATAAACATAGGTCCGAAATCGTTTCGTCTCCGAGATACAGGGTGTTAAAAGTGAAGTCCCGATGACATATTTTAGGACGCACAATTTTCAAGAAAAAAGCGTTCGAAAATGTCATGATAAGTTCGATAAGTTATTTAAAAGTGCAAACAATAATTAGTAGGCATTGGAAAACCGGTGACTAAAGAAATTTATTTAGTTTTAATTGTTTATTAAATGGTTATTTTATAAAGAAACTTGTTTTTTTTCAAAGGGTTGACCAACTTTTTGACTCACCCCGTATTAGTTTAATACCATCTAATTTTTTTCAATTTAACCGAGGCTTAATCAGTATGGTATTAATTTAGTGTATAAGTATAATTCCATGCTAAACTAAAAATAAAAAATCAATTTTCAGTAATTTGCGAATCACCCTGTAACTTTTTATAATTTACATTACACTTTAATGCTCTGCCGTAAAATCTACCGGACACAAGGTTTTTTAAAAAAGTATTGATAACAAAAAATTTTAATCAAAATAATTTCAATTAATAATGTTTAATAATAAAAAAATGTTTACAAAATACACCAAACTTTGATTTCATTCTATTAAAAATACTCTTTGTTTAAAAAGTTAAAAAAGAAAGAAAAATAAATTTTGTGGGACGAAAATAAAATGTTTGTTTTATTTTGCGGTTAAGTATAGATTATACTGGAAATATTCTTTGAAACCTCTAAAGCACTATTTTTTGAAAGTATCTATATTTCAAAATACTTTGTTAAGAATCAGGACATTTTACAAAAATAGCCGACTTGCACATTCAACACCCTGTATATTATGAGTTTGAGTTATGCCCATGAATATCATTGTTCAGAAAGTCAACATACCAAAAATTTTTCAATTTGTAATTTACAACAAAAATAAAATAAACACCAATATGGTTTTTGTATTACCAATTTAGAATTTAAAGTACATAATTAAAAAAAGTCAACAAAAACCGATCAAAAATTATTAAAGAATGTAGTCTATACGAAATATTTTTCTTCATTAAAAATATCATTAACTAGAAGTTTTTAGCTAATTTTGAAACTGTATCACGGCTTCTTTATCTAAATAAAATTACTACAATACTCTAAAACCTTTAAAAAACAATAGCCGTTAAACTTGGATTACTTTTAACATCAAAACAGGCGTGGCCTTTGCGAAACAACTGCCAACCCACTCACCACTCAATCCATCGCGGAACACTAGATGTCGATGCAACTTTTTTTTAAGAGGAACCGGTAAACCATGGAAATGGTTAAGGTACAAGAAGTGACACCCCAATATAAATAGGAGTCTATGGATATTATCTTCACTACATCTTCGAGTCTCACAGCATACTTGACTACAATGGCTTTTAAGGTAAATTACAATTTTGTTTTCTTAGTGTACTAACATTTTTTAAAATACCTAAAATACTTATATATTTACATAATTTTACATCATTTTTTATTTAACAATTTCTAAATACTGTTTATGATTTCTATAATTAAGTACCCAGATATTCTATCAATTTGACAAGAGATTTTTTGTTTTAAAAAGTTCGTTAATGTAAATAAATTTAAAAAATCATTAGGTAATAAAAAAGTATTATTTATATTTTATTTATTATCATTTGTATTATATAATATATTATTTACTTTACTTTTAAAAAAATTAATTAAATTGTAGATCTTTTAAAATGATAATATTGTTAATAAATTGAATGGTAAAAAATTATGATATTTTGCTTTATATTATCATAAATCAATTTATTATAGACTAATAATGATAATATATTTGGTACTTTTGAATATTATAGGATATTATAACACCTGACAAATGAAAATGATTATTATGGCATACGTCCTAAAATCAACCTATTTCCAATAAAACAAAATTATAATTTTCATTTGTTAATTCTGCCTGAATACATTTTAGTCACAAAATTATATAATACATTTTTGTTATTTAAACTAAAATAAAATATAAAGTATTTTCTGATAATTTTTAAAACTGATTATATCAAGGGTCTTCCTCACCTCGACATTTAATAGCATATTGTCCTTATCTTTTCATAAATAATTTTATCTTTGCTGTTCTGTTCAAGTCATTAAATTGTTAAACTTCTTAATACATTTTTTACTCATTTATTACCGCATTGTTTTCTCAGATAGGTTAATTTTTCTTGATATTTGATTACAATATTTTCTATTTTAAAGTTCTGAATATTTAAGTAAATTAGAATAACAAAAATGCCATTAAATAATTTAAAAATAACACCTATAGATAATTTCTTTATAGATTTCGTGCCATGTGTCAGGGTTATTAATTTTTGCAAATTAAAACAAAATTCAAATTTTCAATGTGAACTAATATTTCAATTGAGTAGGCAGTTTCAAATTTTTCGCATACATTTGAATGAAAATTTATTATAGATGACCTTATTCTTTATTAATGGTAACAGCCAGTTTATGATAATATTGATATGATTCAAATCAATGTCAAAAGTTGTCAACACAGCAGAACTAAGCGTGTATGTGAAATTTGTAAATTACCAATATTCAAAAATTTATCCTTTTTTTGGAATCGCCAACATTAATTGCTGAGAATATCGGAAGTTTTTTAAAAATATATTATGAACTTTATTAGTAATTCAAATTTGGTTGAGAAAAAACTTTTATACCATGTTCTCCTGTTTTATTTTTGACTGTTTTTAATAATTTTCCGTTTTTATTTTCAGTTTGTTCTCCTCGCCGCTTTCGTCTCTGTCGCCAGTGCAGGCATAGCATCAGCACCATTGGCGTACGCATCCGGCCCTTTGATATCGGCACCGCTAGCTAAAGTAGCAGTGGCCGCACCATTAGCTAAGGCCGTCGTAGCAGAAGAGTACGACCCCAATCCACAATACTCTTTCGGCTACGATGTCCAAGATGGTTTGACAGGCGACAGCAAGAGCCAAGTTGAAAGCAGAAGCGGAGATGTCGTACAAGGTGAGAAAATTAACAACTATAAAATAAAATAGGCAAGAAAGTCTGATATATTACATATATATTTTCTACATAGAATTTCTACATTTATTTTTTACATATATTTTTATGCTCAATATTTTAAAATTCACATTCACATTTTTTTTTTCCGACCTAATTTCATGAAAAACTTCTTTTGATTGCAATTCTCGAAATTATATATTTATAAAATAAATCTATTTACTTTGATATCCCCATAAAAGTTCAATCATTTATTTTGGTATATTTTTATTTTCTACTTTCATATCTCCAAATTTTTTCTGAACTATGATTCTGCTTATAGTTTTAGAGATAACATAGTTTTTCAGTAGTTTTCATGTTACTATTATAATAATTGTGACTTTATACCTTACTGTCCCTTGTAATGTATGTCCATAAATGTTTAATTAGATTATTTAACTTAGCTTGTGATTCTATTTACGCTCTTTATATTTTTATGTTATTTTTTTAATAAAGTTTTTTAAAAGTTATTTATTTTAAAATAATTTTTGAAAACTAATATAATTGAAGTTAATTTAATTTAATATTAAATACATTTTTTTATTCAAGGTTCGTACTCCCTCAACGACCCCGACGGTACCCGTAGAACAGTCGACTACACCGCTGACCCCATCAACGGATTCAACGCCGTCGTACGCAAAGAACCCCTCGTTGCCAAAGCCCTCGTAGCCGCCCCTGTAGCCAAAGTAGCTGCTCCATTCGCATACGCCGCTCCTGTAGCTAAATACGCAGCTCCTTTGACCTATGCTGCCCCAGCCGCTCACCTCAGCTATTCCGCTCCAGCTGCCCACGTCAGCTACGCCGCTCCTGCCGCTCAGCTCAGCTATGCCGCACCAGCTGCCCACGTTAGCTACGCCGCACCAACTGCTCACTTAAGCTACGCTGCTCCAGCTGCTCACATAAGCTACGCTGCACCAGCTGCTCACTTAAGCTACGCATCTCCTGCCGCCCACTACAGCTACTCTGCTCCAGCCGCCCACTACAGCTACTCCGCTCCTATCGCAAAATACGCTGCCGGTCCAGCTTTGAGCTACGCTTCTCCTCTTAGTTACGCCGCTCCTGTAGCGAAATTGGCTTACTCCTCTCCTATTGGTTATGCTGCTCAAACTCATTTGATCCATTAAGTTCCTTCTGTAAATAATTTGTAAATAAATGTATTATTTTGAAGATAAAATGGTAAATAAAAAAATTGAATAAACTATTTCGTATTTTTTAATGTTTAAAATTAGGCCCTAAGTAGGAAACTAAAACAAAGAAGATGGGTAGTAGTCTTAATTGCTCACTTCTCTATTATATGGGACGCAAAAACTTTAAGTTATCATAATATACAGTGATCAACTAAATTATGAAACCAACTCAAATTTTTAAAAACTATTGAATTTAAAAAAAATCCTAATACAGATTCATTTTTATTTTTAATTGCCTATGTTTCAATCTACATTTGAAACCAGTGTTGGAGTGCTGACGTAATTACCCAATTTTTTAAATCAGCTGCCACATGATACCTCATTTTAAAGGTATTTTGATCCTCTATTTAGCTATATAAATTATTATTTAATTTATATGCATATAGGACGAAGAAAAATCTAGTTTTTATTTAACTACAACCAAACTACAATAAAATGTTCAAATGATGACTTAATTATAAAAAAACAAATAAAATAATGGACATAACAACTTACTTTTCATTTAACAAATATCAAGCATGTTTTTATAAATCAAGTTGTAAATTATCAACGACATCTCAGTCAAAATATCAGTTTTATACGTAGTGTGAAATAATCCCATTTTCCGGGTAAAAGTAACTCTTTAAAAAGGTAAATTATGGCTTATTTATGTGAAACACAACGAATTGAAGTTTTAATCCTTAAATTCAAACCTACTTCGAGAATTCAAACTATACCACAAATTCTGACTCCCACTATACATACTTATGCCCTCCCCCTAATTAATTTTAACAAATATGCTAATGAACTCCTAAAGCAAGGTGACACACTAATAATTCTGACTTTGACACAATTTTATACTCTGATGGTTCAAAAGATCAGAATGGTGTTGGATATGCAGTACCTACAATCTCTTTAACAAAGTCATTGAGCCATTCACCAAGTACCCCCAGTACACAGACGAGATGTTTGCAAATCTCCGAGCTCTTAAGTCCTTAACATCAGACCAAGAACGCATTGTAATTTGTAGTCGCTTGCATCTATATACTTTATTAATTGACTGTATACCCATCTTCTCCTAGCCCAATCGGATCACCAAACCTTTATGTTATGTTGTGTTATGTTGGGAATGGGGTGTTAATACACTGCGACATAAAAGATCTATTGTGCCTTCTGCCGTTAATGCAGCAAGGTAATGTACCAATGCCTATAACGACCGTTCCAATTCTTTTTTCTCAAGGAAGTGAAGGATTTGGAGTGACTAGAACCAACCTCTTTTATTTGATATGCTCCTAGGTATAGTTCCCTTGGATTCTGGAGTGCTACACATTCAGTTATAATATAACTGAAGATTTCGTTCTCCTCCTCACAGAATCTGCAATAACTCTCTTCTACTACTCTCAGTTTATTAGGATGTCCTTTTAGTCGACAATCCCTAGTAAGGATCCCTGTTACAATCCGTAGCCCGTTCTTGCTCAGACAAATGCAGGCTTCCGATTTTTTGTTTTCTGGTTATAGCCACTTAGAAGTAGCCACTTAGCTACTTAGCCACTTAGCCTACCTTAGACTAAGATACTGTTTTAATTATCGGTTCTTCTACCACCCAATTCTTTTTCAATCTCTCCTAATACTATGTTACTGCTGGTACCGCAGAACGGCTCAGGTCCCACAACGGGTGCTTGAGTCCTCTTCCTTGTCAAACTATCTGCAATCTCGTTACCCTGTACCCCGTTATGTTTCGGGGCTTAGCTCATTTAATTTTTCTAGGCATCTCCAGATCATTTTTGAGCTAATTGCGTAAGAGATCATCGCTTTGATGGCTGCTTGGCTATCGGACATGATAATAATATCTTATCTACGATAGTTTCTCTCGATGTTAAAATGGATACACTTCTCGATGACATGAATTTCCGCCTGAAAGATGCTTGGGTATTTTCCCAAGCTTTCTAAATGCTTAGTTCCAGGCCCGTTCACTCCTATTTCAGTTCCTTCTATGGTTTTGGGACCATTCGTGTACCACTGAATAGCATGTCTGTCGGTTGCAAGATCGACGAATTCTTGGCTCAATTCTTTCTTGAAGCCCAGTTCTGTGGTTTTGAAGTTTTTTACAAGACGGTACTTTTTTATTTCATCTTGGGGCATATCCCAAGTATCTTCGGTGCTGAAGTTAATAGACTTTCGTCGGATTATTCCGTTTCAGATCATTCTAACCGTTAATCAACTCTCTTTTAAAAACGAATCTGCAATAATTTAATAAATTCGCTCTTCTTTTAGTTTCCAGAGAAATGAGAGAGCTGCTGGCTCGACAAAAGAAATATTGCAACGTGATTTCACTAATAAAAAATCCAATTCAACAAGGATTTTAAAGCATACTTTAAACGTTTTATACGTCACACATGAAAAACTCATTGATAAGAAAGAAACTCTAAGCTGAGGAAGATTCATACCTCTGTAGACCTAAATCAGCTCTTAACAATGTAATAAAAAGAGATTATTACTATTCGACGATTACAAATAGGACATACTCTTACTACCCATAGACATTTAATGGTTTTCAAAGATCCTCCATGTGAGTACTGCGATGCTGTCCTTAGTTCCTTACTGTTAGACAAACATTAATTGACTGTACTGCATACTTAGCGAAGAGACTCTACCAAGATTTAAAAGACAATCTAAGAGATTTCCTTACACAAGACTTTAATGCATCCTCAACTTCTTGGAAGGTATCGTCTAATACAATTAAATTTAAATTGTTAACATCTTAAAAGTTAGTTTTATCTTTCTTTTATGGCTCATGTTTTTAGTAATATTGTATATTGTATATTGTACTTCAGGGCAAATTGCATCAGACCATGGAGTTTCTGAGCGATCGAAAGTATGTGTTCTGAAAACAGAAAAGTACAATCGTTACAAATTCCAACTATACCAGGAACTTATTGAAGATAATCCCGATCGCTAAATGCATTTTTTTAAAGTTTTTAAGATTTATATAGCAGCAATCCACGTTTCATTCAGCAAATTCTCTTTTCAGATGCAGCCACATTTTGCCTAACTGGTACAGTAAAGCATCAAAATTTTAGGTATTGGAGTCAAGATAATCCTCACGTAAACGTGTGGAAAGATATAACTAAAGACCGAATCATTGGTCCTTTCTTTTTAGATGGAAATTTCATGGTGAGTCTCAGCTACAATTTCTAAGATATGAACCTATGCCTGACCTTGTAAATTTATTTCCAAATGCCAATAATCTTAGTTTACCAGATGATAATAGCTGGTGTCAGCAAGACGAAGCATTTCTACATTATAAACGTGATGTTTGGAAGTTTTTGAATAACAGCTTTCGTAGAAGGCGGATTGAAAGGCTAAGATCCATGGCGTCACCTGCAATGTGTTATGAGTGTGTCTCTTGATTTCCTTATTGCCAAGAGACCAGTGGATTGCATTTTGACCTTTTGTTTTAAAAAAAAATTGACTAAAGTTTATAAGAAACCTATTTTAAACTGGTTTTTGTTAAATAAGACCTAAACTTTTTTTAGAATAGAGGGTCAAATGAGGAATCACATGATTTATTTAAAAACGATTATTTTATTACATCAAAACCGGTAATGTAATCGGTTTTAAATGTAGATTGAGATATGATCAATTAAAAACAAAACTCGATCTGTTCTAGGAATTTTTAAACTCGACAATTTTCGTAAAATTGAGTTGGTTCCATAATTTAGCCGATCACTGAATAAAATAAACTTCGATATAAAGCCAAGTATCCATTGAAAGAATCTACAATAATACTTCTTACAGTTTTTCTTTCATTAAAGTTGGTTTTCGCAATGTAACTACCTTGTCATCTTCACCTAACAACATTTCATTCTAAAAGCTTCTTCAAACCTAAAATTCAATTTAAGCTTGCCAAAATACATTACTTCCGTTAGAAGTTTGAAGTTACTACTAGATAACTCGTGAGAACAGTTTTACGATAATCTGTATTGTTTATTTCTACTTTATGAGCAGCTTACTCTGGATATGTCAAATTAAATGCACGGTAATGGGATTTAAATACGACACGACAACTAAAGGTACAGAGTGGTCAACTTGCGGTTTCATATAATAAAATATTATTGTCAAAAATATTGTCCAGTTGGTCTTGCTTTAAAAATAGTACAAATGATTAGATTTTACTAACTGATATTTAATCGCAGATTTACAGGAAAGCTTACAGAAGCAACAAAATAGCAGAATTAAATAATTCATTGAGATTCTGTGAGAGGACAATATCAAAAATAAAATAAAACGCTAATAAAATATCGCACACCCGCTAAAAAAGCATCACAATTTAAAAAATCACATTTTTGAGAGAATTCCATAGATCGATCAAAAATTAAACACCCTAATTTCTAAATAAGTGTTATTTTTTTACTAGTACTTACTAGTGTACTTACTAATACATTACTAATCTTCAAACAAAATTGGATGTATTGCCTGGCATTATCTTTAAACGGTGTTTTCTCGACACTATATTTTTTAGCCGATGTGTAATATGTCCTGTTTTGTTCATTTCTAAACGAAGATGTTTTTTTGCAATATTTCTTATATTATGGATTTATTTTTTTCACTGCCGTATTTCTGATTCGCAATCTTATCTAGATTCCAATTGGTAGTCTTTTTACATTTTTTTATAAAATGAATCTAAGTTAATTTACCCCAAAAAGAAGATAAGTATAAACCTTTAACGCTACAAATGCATTGGAGGAGGAATATAGGCGAAACCAAGTAAAGAAAAAGGAATCCAGAGAAGTAAAAACTAAAGATATGGAATCAAATAATAATGTGCTTTGTGTGGACCTTTAATCGGTTGTACTGAGCCCTATGTCCAACGTATCGTTACTCCATTTTCGATCAAAATTAATTGGTCACAACGTTACGAGGTATGACAAGAAGTGGTTACTGCTATATTTGGTATAAATCAAC